CCTTCCTCTATAAATGATATAAAAATCTATAATTTACGAAAATCATATATTTTTCTAATAGAAATCAAACATGGTCTATTGGTCTCTCCTTATCTGGATGACAACCTGAGACATGAAAAATAAGCTTATTTCTAAATGCTCATGAATGAAGGAAAAGAGTGGAAGTTTTTTTGTTATACATTCATCTTATGTGAAGCAAGGAAGGAGTCACATGAATTTTAAAGTATTATCAATAGGTATTTCTTGAAAAGCCCCAAAAAGCTAACAAGTAAGAACGGTCTAAGTTTTGCAGTACCTATTGGTATGATGAATCTTGATTTTGAACTACCTATATGCTGTAAATGTATTTAAGCTGTGATAGCCTCAAATCATGTTTAATAAGGTAATCCCTCAGTCCATAATCTTATGAAAAGCTGAACTTACGAGAAAAATGTTTCAGAGACAATACTCATTTTTGGGCAGAAGCTATAGCATCTGACAACGGAAGAAATGAAATGCACTTACTAAAAATATCCCTCTGTACTGAAAATCTTGAAAAAAGATAGAAATTTTCCAAGAAGTATATTTCTTTAAAAATTTAAGAAGAATTCTACAGTGTCCCAGCGTGTTTCTGAGAATCTACTCACCTTTTGTGAAATTTTTAGGGTAAATTTTTCTCTTTTTCATACGAAACAAGGGATGCATGTGAATTCGTAGTGGTTTTTCACAGGTTGATTGTTGGGAAATAATTGTCAAAAAAATCTTAAAAACCCGCAAAAATTTGAATTCCAAGTTGCAGGGTCCCACGAAAATATCGAAATAAAGTTGCGACTTAATGCAGTGAAATTTCAATGCTTTTGCCATGTAAATGCAGTATTTTTGCATGATCTCATAGCAATTAATGTCGATTCTAAACGAACGATGAGATGAGTCGCAGGCATTCGTAAGGTAGGATATTTTTACAACATAAAGAAACATTGTAACTTTTTTCGATAATATTGCCATGAATTTCGATAAAAAGCGCCCCTTCAATCAGTAAATAGGCAAAATACACAACACCTTGATGCAGTGGCAATAATGTTATCATGTAAAAGCAATGTATTAAAATCTACCACATGCCACTTGGAATAATGGATTAGGCCCGACACTAGACGGTTAAAAAGTAAATTAAGTAAAAGTGGTTGTGTACATTTTTACAGTTGTTTTTTCCCCCATAAAATAATTTTTTTTTCAAAATTGACACTTTTTTGCAAGCTTTTATATACGAATCCATTGCTATTCGGGAAACGTCAGAGCAGCAGCTTCAATATGTTCAAATGAACAGTCGATGGCTGCATCAAATGCTTCCTTTCAACGAGAAAGGAGCGAAAAGAAGAATCAAAGAGAAAACGTCTTGACGGGCCCCGGTATCAGGGTCCCAGTATCCCCCCTTTGTGGCGGGCCTGCCTTCATGCACGCTGGGCTTGTCGATTTCCTTTGACATTTTTGCAGTGGTGAATGCATACCTGAAGTGCGCTACAGCTAGAATTGTATTTAGCAAATGGGTGGTTTTTCTAGGAGGATTAAAAATAAACGAGTGGTACGGAATATAACAAAAGAATTATGAACTATGCAAAACGATATTCCGGGTATCGGAACTTGGCTGTTTTGAAAACGCCTTCAAATGCGGCGTGATACCTCACGTATTCCGGAGAGTTCAAATAGTTGTATCATTGCGCCTTAGAAATGCGACGGAAGATTACAATTGAAACAGCCTTCATGCACGCTGGGCGTGTCGATTTCCTTTGACATTTTTGCAGTGGTGAATGCATAGCTGAAGTGCGCTTCAGCTAGAATTGTATTTAGGAAATGGGTGGTTTTTCTACGAGGATTAAAAATAAAAAGGAGGTTAGAAATTAAAACAAAATTCTATGAACTATGCAAAACGATAATCCGGGTATCGGAACTTGGCTGAATTGAAAACGCCTTCAAATGCGGCGTGATACCTCACGCATTCCGGAGAGTTCAAATAGTTGTATCATTGCGCCGTAAGAATGTGACGGAAGATTTAAATGGAAATAGCCTTCATGCAGGCTTGCCACATCCCATCTCGATCCCTGGTACCAGTTTTAAGTTCCGGGCCCCAAGCACGGAAGGGGGGGGGGGGTCCGAGGGGCATCCTCCGAGAAATTTTAGAATTTATACGACTAATCGGACGCATTTTGTAGCTTCCATGAAGAACTTTTCCATCAATTTCTGTGGAATAATTATGTTTTTTTTTATACTTGTAGCACAAAATACTTGAGAATTGTTGCATTCAAAACATCTGGAAAATTTTTATTTGTATTTATTTATTTATTTTTTTTTTTGGGAGGGGGGGGCCTTATGATACTATTTTCAGTTCTAAAAGGGGCAGGGCCCCCAGGACTCCCCCTTCGTTTGTCTATGGTAAGGAAGTTGAGCCATGAGCAGGGCCGGATTTACATTTTTAGCGCCCTAGGCTAAACTTAGGGTGGCGCCCCTAAAAGTAGGCGCTCTTGTGGGGGGGGGGGAGCGCTCCTCCCCTCCAGATCAGAGGGAGGATGTTAGTTGTCCGGAAAATGTTCAAATTCACCTTTAAAAAAGCACGATTTTAAACAGTTTTGAGATACGTTTACGTTTGCAAGTTGGTTTTGGGAAATACGTTTTTGAATAAATTTTCAAAAATTGTGCGCCCCTCAGAATGTTGCGCCCTAGGCTATAGCCTATGTAGCCTATTGGTAAATCCGGCCCTGGCCATGAGCCATTGAAGTCGAGGATGCCCAGACTGGATAGACTCTTAGCATCCGACGACGGAAGAAAATGAATCGCAGTTACTAAAAATATCCATCTGTACTGAAAATCTTGAAAATAGATAGAAAATTTCCTAGAAGTATACTTCTTTGAAAACTTAAGAAGAATTCTACAGTGTCCCAGCGTGTTTCTGAAAATCTATTCACCTTTTGCGAAATTTTTAGGGTAAATTTTTCACTTTTTCATACGAAACAAGGGATGCATGTGAATTCGTAGTGGTTTTTTACGGGTAACACGGGCCCCGTCCGGGACCCGGGCCCCGGTACCAGGGACCCAGTATCCCCCCCCTTGTGGCGGGCCTGCCTACAACGGGAAGTGTGCGACGTTGCAAACTTACATACGGCAATTTTCAAGACGTTTTCTCTTTGATTCTTCTTTTCGCTCCTTTCTCGTCGAAAGGAAGCATTTGATGCAGCCATCGACTGTTCATTTGAACATATTGAAGCTGCTGCTCTGACGTTTCCCGAATAGCAATGGATTCGTATATAAAAGCTTGCAAAAAAGTGTCAATTTTGAAAAAAAAATTATTTTATGGGGGAAAAAACAACTGTAAAAATGTACACAACCACTTTTACTTAATTTACTTTTTAACCGTCTAGTGTCGGGCCTAATCCATTATTCCAAGTGGCATGTGGTAGATTTTAATACATTGCTTTTACATGATAACATTATTGCCACTGCATCGGGGTGTTGTGTATTTTGCCTATTTACTGATTGAAGGGGCGCTTTTTATCGAAATTCATGGCAATATTTGAATATTATCGAAAAAAGTTACAATGTTTCTTTATGTTGTAAAAATATCCTACCTTACGAATGCCTGCGGCTCATCTCATCGTTCGTTTAGAATCGACATTAATTGCTATGAGATCATGCAAAAATATTGCATTTACATGGCAAAAGCATTGAAATTTCACTGCATTAAGTCGCAACTTTATTTCGATATTTTCGTGGGACCCTGCAACTTGGAATTCAAATTTTTGCGGGTTTTTAAGATTTTTTTGACAATTATTTCCCAACAATCACTATACTAATAACGTTTGAATCGAGTATAGTACCTATATTTGAATCAGTGAGTTCGAAAACACACCAACTCGGGGGAAAAAAAAATTGTTCAGGAAACACTCAAAGCTGCGCAGCTGGCGAAGAAGTTAGTTTAAGAAAAACCTTTTTGGTGCCAAAGGACAAGTACTTAGAGACTTTGTAAAGCACCAAGTTGAAATCGATACACTATGTTTGATGACAGAGAGTTAAGCGTTAAAAAAATTTCCGAGTTGGTGTGTTTTCGTTCTCACCGACTTTCAGAAACTGATTTTTCATAGTCTGCCCAGAAAAAATTATATTTTTCGACCTGAATAACGCTTGAATATTTATATAACTTGTTGGTACAAGGTATACTAAACCGAAAGAAGAAAACCGCAAGATCGGATGGTCACCCGTTTCCCTTGAAATGGCCAAAAATTTTGTATTTCCAGTGAAATACTTCGATTTTTTCCTTTTCCCGTCGCTATTTCGAGCTTTTCCGATTGCAATTTCTAAATTTCCTTTTGCGTGCAGATGCCTCTATCCATAAGTGTTATAAGTATAAGTTGTATTTCCAGTGAAATACTTCGATTTTTCCCTTCTCCCGTCGCTTTTTCGAGCACTTCCGATCGCAATTTCCAAATTCCCTTTTGCGTGCAAATGCTTCCATCCATAAGTGTTACTAAACCGTAAAAAAGTGAAAATCGAAAAAAACCCGAGTTGGTGTGTTTTCGAACTCACTGATTCATTCGCGATGGGTTTCCAGAATCGGAACTCGGCGGAAGAAACGACGGAGCTGAAAGCTCGGAGCATGCACGGGAAATCACAGGCGAACACCCGCGCCTCGGCCGGGCTGTATGTCTATTGATCTCTCTAGCGTTACTTTTTGGGTAAGTAGGTAATCAAACCTAGCTCACTCCGGCCTCAACCTTCAAAATCTGACCTACCGCGCCGAGCAAATGCAGTACAAAACATACCTCCCCCCGGTGGTGTCACAGCCCAGGGCATACGAGCCGAAGACAGAGAGGGAGCGCTCAACTTTCACTCGGCCGCCCGGAGGCGAAGAGAGAGACGGGAACGGGGGTCGGAGGAGGCATGCGCGGCGGGGCGCCTGCGCGGTAGGCAGCCCGCTCGTCTCGCGGGAGGGGGGAGGGGTTCGAGCTCCACCGAATTCCCTCGACCAGTATCGACCAAGCCAGCCGCGCGGCACCCAGCCGAGCCCCCAACTCCGATTCGTGCCAACCACCGAAAAACTCCGCAACGCCGCGTCTCCCTGAACCCAAAACCCTCCAGTTTCCAACCCGAGTGGCGAGTGTTTCTCCATCTTGCGCGCGATTTGGGGCGACACGCTGTCCGCGATCCCGCTCGGGCACGTGACGAGACATGTGGTGAGTGCATTTCGGGTTCCCGTTCGTGAGAACGAGTGACGTCAGTGCGTAACAAATCGTGGGCGTGCGTGCGATCGTGGAAATCGCGGGGTTGACTGGGACACAGGGGAGGAAACAAGGGGTGTGAAATTGATTCGGAGGATCGAGTTTGGGTTTGATCCGGGAAGGACACCTGAGCCGATCCGTGGACGCCTGGCGGCGTGGGCTGAGGGCTTTTAGGTCATTCCCCCGGTTTCTGGATCAATCGGCTGTGGTGTGTCCTGTGTCATCATTTCACCCTATATTTCGGTGGCGGGGTCTTGAAATTCGCCCCTCCGTCGCTGGCTATCGGCAAAACACTACCTTGGAAACTGCCGCGCGATGCGCCACAAAATTTAACGCGTCCGCTTTTCCACATGCTCAGGATGTGTGTGCCACGTCCTAGGTGAAACCTGGTTTGACTCGCTCGAGAGGTCCGTCGCGTAGTGTTGTGCACTTTCGAAACAGCAGTTTGGACCGAGAATGAGAGTGAACATCGTCTGCAAATATCTCTCGACGAAAACCATTCGCAACAATTTCCTGCTGCCCCACCTCCACTACAACAGCTACTGCTTCCCGTTTCGCCTGCAGCTCTACCAAGTCTCAGAGAAAGACGCCGCTCCCTCGGAATAAACAAAATACCGGAGGGAGGGTAGTAGGTAAAATAACCCAAACACGCCTCGTCTGAAAACAAGACCTTCACATTTCTCCTGGCGTTCCAGATCGCCTGCACATTAAACATCTGAGGAGATTTGGAAAAAATTTCCCACGGCTTTCCGCCTTTCGTTTTTGAAGCTTGAACATTATACGCTGTAGTGAGTGAGATTGTTATCTCGTTCCCACCCAAAAAAAACAAAAAAAACTTTACAAGTCCTTTTATTCCCTGATGACTCTCTGACAAAGTCAAATCGTTCGATTTACAATAAAAGTTTATCGTATTTTCGGCCGGCTCCGCTCATCTTTCCAAACTCCTCGAATCTGCTCAAATTGCCTCATCGTCTGAGTCAAATTCTGAATCTTGAAGCCTTCATCCAAGACCAACACCTCATATTGGCGCCCAATCATCTATCGATGTGCATAAATGTCACTTATCTGAAAACAATTACAAGTTTACAGAAGCGCATAATACCTCTTCGACATGGTACATCCAGCCCTTAACTCTAAAATTGATTCATAAAGGTATCGACAAAACCTTTTTTGATAGAGACTCGACCAAAATTGCCAGCTCTCTATAAAGTTGTCTGTTCCAAACCGCACAAGAAGCATTTCATTAAATTAACCTTTTTCACGTTTCAAGTAACCAAAGTACACTCCCTTCACTATCGTTCAATTATTCTGCGGTTCAAACATGTGCCATTAATGTTCAGAACCTTCATTACTAAGTTTCGCCTTCAATCACGCATGATACAAGTTCATCGACATCGGAGTTAAAACAGTTGTATCGTCGCTAATCGTGAGCGATATTCTCCTCGTTAAAAAAAAGTGGTTACTGTTGATTTCACGCTAAAATTAAAGGAAGAATTTTTTACGGAAAGATAACAATGAAAGCAACGGCCTAGAATTAGGTTACCACAGGCACAAGTTTCGAAATCGTTGCGTATCAATTTGTGACGCATCTCGACAGCGCGGCACAATATATTTAAGTTTGCGGTTAAAAGCTCCTGCGACAGGCGGCTAAAATAGGAAGCCTGAACGGGAGGTACACCCACGCAGTTGGTCAGTCAGCGTCTGGACAGAGCGACGTTTAAAAATAGCCAGCAGGTGGAAACCCAACACTGACGTAACGGAAAAGTTACTCGACGCATCTTCAAGTTTATCGCCACCCGGGAGCTTTCGGCTTTCATCGTAAACAGACGCACTCTTGGACGGAGCTGAAACTCAAGTCAAGGTGAAAGCTCGACTCAGTCAGTAGTATCCCGTGGCTTTCAGACCGCGGAAACTGACCATGGAGCCGAGCATCAAGTTCACAAAACACGTCGCCACGTTTGTCCGATAGTGCGAAGCCTCTCACTCTCTCAGTGTTTTAACGTATCTCAACGTGCGTAAAGAATATCAAACCATATCAAGTCCATCGTTTCAACGACGTTGAAGACTCAGCAATGATACGGAGGTTAAGGTAACGCCTCTAGAATCCGTTATCGAGCTATTCCATGCTGTTTTTAGTATTTCATTAGAATATGGAGTGGCGTTTTCTGTAGGGAAGCACTGCTTCCCCAGATAAGTGAATTACCGTTCGACACACAGCTTCTTCTTTACGGAGCTGAATTTAAAATTGTTAGTTTGAAGTTTGAACGCTTCGTGGACGTTGAAGTCCTCAAATTGGAGGACGGAGGATGTTTTTGGCCTATTTAGGAAATTGAAGGCTAAATACCAATGAGTGTGACCCCTTGGTGTTGACTCTAAATTTTGAGTCAGAAAAGGTTGCTGGCTATGAACTGCGAGATTCGGGGTAGCTGTTGCTGGTGAGGACGATGGCTCGGCTTTCGGTGGTGGTGTGGTTGAGCTGCCTGGCTGTGGGTTTGGTGGCCGCGGGTCGGATCCCGGCGCTGAACCCGCAGCTGAACGATGCCCTGGACGCCCGCGACTACCGCTTCAACGAGGATCTCGGCTCGGACGAGGGCATCGCCGCTGCGGCCTCGACGGAGGAGCCTGGTCAGGGACACCAACCCCTCAAAAGATACCCCGTCTTCAACGTGGAGTTCGCCCGCATCGAGACCCCTTTCATCATCGGGCTCTGGATATTCTGCGCCAGCTTGGCCAAAATAGGTAACTACTTTTAAATATCTGTTTCCGCCTCTATACACACAGCCGCCCTGGTAAAAATTGGCAGTAGAATGTGTGTTCCAAAATACTATAGACCTAAAGCCGGCTGTAAGATTACCAATAGCTTCTGTAGCCGGCTGTACAATTTCTCATAGCTTTTTATAGACGATGGCGATTAAGCAACAGCCAGACGATAAAGTTTATGCTAAACGTTACTAAACACGGATACTAGCAGTTACCTAGTTAGTTTTTGGATTACCGCTCTCTTTTTGTGCCGTAGTATCTTGATTTATTTTGCGAGGTAAGCTCCATACTTTTGATGGATGCCTGCCATTACTAATATATTAGAGCGCCTTCAGTTTCGCATGATACTGTGCAATACCTCTGGTGTGAAAAAGTTGCTTCAAGCGCCGTGGCAGGCGGGCAGCCAGCGCGAGACACCCATTGGCGCCTACAAACCTAACAGGGATACTTCACGCGTTGCGCAATGCGTGAAGTATCCCTGTTAGGTTTGTAGGCGCCAGTGCGTCGCCGCTCCGCTTTGTGATAGGCTTTAATATTTAATCTGGTGTAGTCAGCGTTATTCAACTCATGATTTTGAAATGTTTGCACATCCTGTATGAATTATGCTCATTTTAATTGATGAAAAAAAGTATGTATTAAAGGAAAATATAATGTGTGTTTTGTAAATATTAAGGTGGTTCCGTATCGAACTTAATGATTTCCAAAGCACACGAATTTCTACACAATTTCTTATAGCCTTTTATAATCGATGGCGAAAAAGCAACAGCCAGGCGATAAAGTGTACGATAGGCGATAGGAACTATAGCCCGGCTGCATAATTTTTTATCGCCTCGTATAGCCCGGCCGTATAATTTTCTCCTCATTCTACAGCCAGCTATATGATTCTGTAGCCTTCTTTAGCCGGCTATAAGAATTCCTATGGTATTTTGAAACGCAGCTCTTATCGCCAATTTTTACCACGGAGATTCAACTCTCTAAAATTCCTGCCCAACTTGAAATTTCGATATTTTTGAGGCCCATAGGTTAATTCAGCGCTAAAAATTATCGAACCAGTCAAATTTCATGAGTTTCGAACCTTCGTCAAAATTCAGAAAAACGACGATATTCCCAAAAATTTGGAGAGCACCATCGGAAAATTGCACTCTCCAAACTTGTGCACTTTCCAAGTCGACGGTGAAACTACCAAACCACGTATCTCGGTTTGCGACGTCGCAGACTTCCTGTCATACTTTATTTTTTAAATGAATAACTACTTAACGTCCAGTCTTGAAAATTTCTGTAATTTTTTCTCTTTGTGCGGAGAAAATTCTGTGAAAATTTCAAGGCATGATATTGATTTGGTCTACTTCAAAAAAATAAAATGCGAGCGTAGATTTTTAAACACCGCAAACGAGAAAGGTACGTGGTTTGGTAGTTTCACCGTCGATGTGCACTTTTGGGAAATGTTTACCAAGGAATTAAGTCTTTGAACCCAAAGAACACGTTCCTGCAGTCTGACGATTTAATCTTGGGACAATTTGAAGAGTGGCGTTTTCTGGAGGGCGGACTGGCTTCAAATTTTCCGCTGGGCGGGTTCGCTAAAGAAGAGATTGAGGGCTGCTTCTTGTGAAGTAGGAAAAGGTTCAATAGAGTCCCCAAGAAGCTGTGCAAGATTTCTAAAATAAATGGTAACGATAATAATAATCTATAGTAACAATAATAAACCCAGTAATTTCTATAATATTAGTGAGTTTAATTGATATTGTTCATGTTATAATCAAGAGTAAATCTCATTTAGAAAATCTGGGGAATATCGGCATTCATCAGGAAATTTAAAAAATAGGAAAATCGGGAATCAGGATAGGGAAGTAAATAGGAAATGAGCGCTCTGCATGCAACAGAGAATTCTCTGTTTCCTCTCTCTCCATTTTGTTTATGTATTTGGTAATTCACGTCAACGACACAACAAAAAGGGAAAAAAAACAGTATATTTGTTTTTAAATCCGGAGAAAGAGTTCATCTCTCGTATTTGGTAGAAAGTGAGATAAAAACCAGAGACTACCACGACAAAGCACGGAATTACCAAGGAAGAACAACAACTAAGAATTCTAATATCTTGCTCATTAATTTTTTTCTCATACATCGTATGGGTAGGTGTCCGAAAGTTGCCGAATATTTCCTGATACAATATTTAAGAGTACGAGATCAACTACGAACTTTTCAGATGCATGCTTCAGGCCAAAGCGTGTATAAATTTAGCCAAACAACAATAAGAAAAGTGGGTATTTATTCTCCAAGTTCTCAGAAATTTGTATTTTTGTAAACTTTGGCCTCGTTCGAATGCTCATACGACGTTTTTCCTCAGCACGTGGTATGAAGGATGGGAGGAAGGAGGCAGGATCTGTCAATATCATCTCAGTCGGAGAGATGAAGGTTATTTCATGACCTAAAAAGTGACCGGAATTGTGTAGAGCCTGAGGTTATTTTCAAGTCCGATTGGCGTCACTAGGGTGGAGAGAAATGAGTTTATGCAACAATTGGAGATTGAATAAGCACCTGAATTATTGATTTTCCGAGGATTTAGTTCATTACGTCATCGACGGCGGAACGCAATTCTCAGATCCCCGATTTACGCACGTTTCTTGGCTTCGAGAGAAATACGACCAGCACGACTAACCCCCGTTCATGTCTCGAAACCACCACCGAATACACTGATGGCTATCATAATTGGATCGAGTTCAGCATGAAGGGACGAGGTTTTTTTGGAAATGAGAAATGCTTCTATGTAGCAGCCCGTGACAAAGACAATTCAATGGTATATGAAAACAAAGCCGCGGGTATTATGGGCAGTTCTAGACCTCTGTGCCTGTGTGTGTACCAAGAGACTTAGAACCACATTGTTGGCTCGTGAGTGGGGGGCCGGGGGATAACAACCTCCCCCCCCCCCAGTAAGAGGAGGGTCCGAGGGGGCCTCCACTGGAACCGTGCTTTCCAAAAAATTTGGCCTCTCTCTGTTAAACTCATTCCGGACCGACTTTAAGGGTGTCTGTAGATTTCTTGAAAATTCCACACCCGGATGGGCACCCGACGTAATATTAGAAAAAAAAACATTGTTCAAGAAAACTTATAAAAAAGTAGTGCGTAGAATAAATTAGAATTACCATCCTAGTTATAGCACAATGCGATGACAATATACGAAATTCAACTGCATTTTAAAGTGATACAATTTCAATTTATTTTAGCATGATATTTCAATATTCCAACACCATTTGGATTATAAACGCCGCTTTTAAAGGACAAACAAAATGAATTTCAGGTATTGGAAAGATAGACAGTTTACTTATAAAAGAAAAATGTCAATTTATTCAATCTTACTGAATTACGGTTCAAAAAGAAGGGCCCCTTCAATTAGTGTGCACGCAACATATGCAACACTCATATGCATAGTAATAATTTGATTATGTAGGAAACTGCAATGTATTATTGCAACCTGCGTTACATGCCGATGGTTGTTGACTTTCATGTTACGCAGGAGTTCTCTTTCATTAGGGCCTCAACTTCAAATATAATTTTGAAAGAGTAACAACACCTCTCGAGAAAGTCAGAAAATTCGGAATATAAAATATCGTGGATTCTTGCAGAAACTTTTTAGGTCCTCCAGTATGTCCCAGAATTTTTTTCGAACGTTAAATGTTTTTAGGTCTTTTACGTTCAATATGGAGAGATAAAAGCATCGCTTATTGTGAAGAGGGTGCGGGGCGGGGGGGGGGCTATCACCCTTCTCTCACGATGCCTACCACGATTTTCCCACTTACTCGTAAACTGCATTAATGATTACCTAATGTGCAACAATCTATACATACCTATTTTACTTGTCGCTAATGGGTGAGTTACGAGTGTCACAGAATCGTGTTTGATAATGGCTCACAGATTAGGCATGAATAATACAGAATTTTGCAAACGCCAATTTAGAGGTCGCAAATGGCATGGAGACCCGAGACACTAATGACCTTTAATTTCAAATATCGCCGTGAATAAATAAACTGTGGTAATCAATTTTTTGGCAAAATATACCCAGAGACAAGTTTTACTTAAAAATGTGCAATGAATACCTCATTCTTTTTTTATAGGTATTCTTTAGTTTCTTTATTCTTGACGCTCTTGATTTGAGTTATGCTGTATGAACTTACTAATAGTTTTTTTTGTCTATCTTTTGTTTCAGGTGAGAAAACGCCAACGTTTTCAACCATTCTTATTTTAAATCACAATGAGATTGCGGTGAGTCAATTCAAAGAACGCTTTTTATTCACCTTTTTCCGATTCTTTTCCAGATGTAAAAATATACAGCTCACCTACTTGTTTGAAAAATTTGCAGGCTAACCATAAAATAGCCGGAGAATTTATATATGTAGATGTTACAATTTTCATTTCATGCTTGTACAGGATTGAATTGAGTACGAGGAAATCCATGGTTTCTAAATCGTACAATATTGCAGGAGATATGTCAAAAGGAGAACGACGTAATCTGCAAAGATACATGTGTTTAAGTGGAAATTGCCGTCTGATAACGTTACATTTTCTCGATCTAAATCAACTTCTCTAAATTTTTCATCTATATTATACAGCTACAAGCAAAATCTTGTATTAGTATACATGTTTAAAAATAACTACGAACTAGGCACTCTCCGGCGAGGAAATCAGCAGCGCACATAGAAACTGTTGTAACTTTGCAATTGAAGCATACCTACCTACTATTTTTTTCATGTATATTCTCCATTAAATAAAATGGAGAATTTCAGAGAAATTATCTTTAAACAAAAAACGAGGCATGCACACGCAGAAACTGTTGTAACTTTGCAAGTGAGTTACATGGTTTTCAGTACACTCATCAATTTCCTAAAATCGGCGGTCCAGTTCAAAACTCACCCGAGTGTGAAATTCAGCAATATTAACCGACGAAGCTAATAAGGGCTAATGGTATGGACGGATCGGTGCGGACG